GAGAGAGAGTTCAGTTGGCCTAGTGGACAGAAAGTGATGCTACCAAGCCAAAGGTGGGTGACTCTAAACTGCGGCCCTCAGGCCTATTTTTAATTGTTTTTGGTTAAATATTCTTCTAACTTGTATAGCCCTGGTCTGTCCACTTGCTGTACAGAGGCAACTCTGGTTGCTGTAATGTTGAACACTATGACACTGATGTATCAAATGTGATAATGGTTACCCATGGTGGACAGTGTTTGGTGGAGCTCCTAGATTAAAACAAGCTTGGAAGCAGGAGTGGCATCGACTTCCAAAATAGCTTGCCTCCAGAAACCCTATGAATCTGGAGAAAGGGTGAAAGCTATACAAGTATTCAGGTCTTTTGTTCATAGGGTCACTATAAATTGCCTACAAATCAACAGTACTTAACAACCACAACAGCACAGTCAAGAGAATGGTCTCAGTTTTTTCCATCAGCACTTATTTACCCTAAAAGGGGTCTGGGTGGTGCAGTGGTTAAAGTACTCTACTGCTAACTAAAGAGTAGAGAGTTCGAGTCTATAGCCCCCGCCCCCACCCCCGATGGAAGAAAGATGAGCCAGTTGGTTCCATAAAGATTTACATAGACCTGTAAGTCAGTTCCATGGGACAGTTGGACTCTGTCCTTTCAGGTCCCTATTAGCTAGAATCTACTAGATGGATTTTGTTTCATTTTTATCACTGTTTTAAGATTTATTTTTATCATTGTTTTAAAATTTATTTAAAAAAAATTCCTATTTTTGTTGTTAGGAGCCGTTGAGTTGAATAAAACTATTGCAACCCAATAAACAATAGATCTAAACCTTGTCCAGTTAAAACAAGCTTGAAAGCAGAGGTGGTATCCACTTCCGAAATAGCTTGCCTCCTGAAACTTGGAGAAATACAGAAAGTTATACAAGTGTTCAGGTCTTTTGTTCATAGGGTCGCTATGCGTCGTCTATGACTTGTTGATAAAAACAACTAAGGGAGCTCTGGTTGCCTACTAGCAAGAAGCTGCACTGCAATATCTGAGGCACATGGTTAAAATCCACTAGATGCTCTGCTGGAAAATGAGGGGCAATCTCCTTCTATATCAGTCAGATTCGATTTGATAGTACACACACACACACAAATTAGTAAAAAAAATCCAAAAAACAACTATAAGAAATATTGTGCCATCCACAGAATATAGGCTGTTATTAGTCTTCCTCAAATTTTGATGCCATATTCTTCTTCATATAATGGAGCTGCTTCAATTATTTACTCAGCATGAACTGAAGAATAGGTATGGAAAGGGTCCAAACTTGATGTACACCTTTCTTGATTTTAAACCACACAATATACCCTTGGTTTTTTTATAACAATGGCTTTTTAGTATATATATATATATATGTTTTACATGAATCCAATTAAGTGCTCTGGAATTTCAATTCTTCTCATGATACTCATAATTTATTATTATTATCTACACAATTGAATGCCTTCGCATAATCAATAAAACAGAAGTAAAAATATTTCTGCTATTTTCTGTGTTCAGACAAGGTCTATCTGGCACAAACAAAAGAAATCACTTGTTCCACAGCATCTTCTGAATCCAGCTTGGATTTCTGGTGGTTTCTCTAGTCATTTCTCAGTAATTTTCAGAAAGATTTTACTTGAGTGTAACATCAATGATGTTGTTGTTGTTGAGTATTACAGAGTCAGAACCGATCCACAGCTGACCCTCCAGAGGGTTTTCAGAAGCAGTTAATAGGACAGAAGGAGATTGTCTGTCCTTCTCCTGCACAGCAGCTGGTGGCCTTGAACCATGTGGCTTCAGGACTATAGTGCGGCTTCTTGTCAATAGGCCACCACAGCTCCCTGAAACATTAATGATGCTGATTGATAATTTCTGCATTCTGTTGATGGATTTGTTTTAGAATGGGAACAAATACGGCTTTTTTCCAAGTTTCTTGGCATAGACTAATGAGCTCGTCCAGGGCTGAACTTGCTTGTTACAACATATCACATGATATTCCATCAATTTGGGGAGCTTTATTATTTTTTCCCCCCATTTCCTTCAGTGTAGCTTGGATGTATTCCTTCAGTAGCACTGGTTCTTAATCATATGCTAATTCCTGAAATGATTTCGTGTTAAGCAATTCTTTTTTGGTACACTGACCCTGTATTTCTTACATCTTCTTTTGATACTTCCTCTGTCATTTAATTTTTTCCTATAAAATTAATCAATATTGTAACTCGAGGCTTGAATTTTTTTTTCTTCAGTTCTTTCCACTTGAGAAATGCTCACCATTACTCAGACGGTACAATCATACAGAACATGGGGGAGACCTGAAGCACTCACTGAAGATCAAAGACAAGAGTCTTCAATACGAGTTACAGCTTAATATTAATAAAAATACCACTGGATCAATAGTCAACATTACGATAAATAGAGGAAGAACTGAAGTCGTCAATGATTTCATTTTCCTTGGATCCACAAATAGCACCCATAGCAAGAGTCAAGAAAGCAGATATATTAGGCAAATCTGCTATCAAGGACCTCTTTAAAGCACTAAAGAGCACTTGTTTCAGACTAAGGTGTGTCTGAAACAAGCCACAGTGTTTTCAATTGCTTCATATTAATGCAAAAGCTGAACAATCAATAAGGAAGACAGAAGATGCGATGCCTTTGGACTGTGCCACTGGCAAAGAGCACGGAAGATAAAAGAGGCTGCATAAACAACCTTCTGTCTTGCAGGAAGCATATCCAGGGTGCCCCAGAGGTAAGGATGATGAAGCTCACCTCACACACGTTGAGCATGCGATCAGGAGGCACCAGACTGCTGACAAAAAGCACCATTTGGGAAAACAGAGGGTCAGTGTGAGAGGGGAAGACCCTCAAAGAGACAGACTGACACAGTCACTGCTAATATGGTTTGAGCATGGTGAAGATTTTGAGGATGGCACAAGATAGGGCAGAGTTTCCAACTGCTGTACACAGGATCACTCTGAGTTGTAGTTTACTCAACAGTACCAAACAACAACAACGAAAGGATACGAAAGGCTAGAAATGCTATTTTAAAAAACTTTATATTAAAGAGCTCATAAAAATACAGTTCCATTGATTTCATTATCCTGAGTTCTCCACAATTAAAAATCTTTAAGCACTTCTTTCTATAATGACGTGATTAAGTACTTTCTATAATTAAGATCTATTTATAATTCTTAATAGATAAAAATCATAATGTAATTTTTATGTAATTTACTCATTCCCCTTTCTTTAAATTAATTCCATCAAAACAAATTCTAAAAGTAAATCAGATATTATTCCCTTCAGTAGCCTAACCTTTAAATAGATGCCTTCGGAAACTGAATAAAGAAAAGGATGGGAATAATACTAATAGAATGATTACTACTGTCTCGTACTGGGTCACGCACACACACAACTTGGCATTTTACCATTGTGTCTTTTTTATTCAGGTGGTCTGAGAATGTGTTTTTGTATATTGTAGAAATGCATTAATGCATTACAAGAAAATCACTAGTGAAACAATTTGCACTCAGCATACTGAGATGTAACTCAGTACCAATCTCACTGCTGACACTGGTTAATCTGTGACATTTATTAATTCCCCTGCCAGAAGCGAGGATTAGTAAGGGGAGTGTTAAAGGACCACTTCATTGCTGATTCTTTCCATTTGTCCCTACTTCCTCCAAGAAACACGTTACAGAAAGAAAACGTTCAGAAATTAGTATCTAGGAAGATAACGAATCAATCAAAATCTTAAAGAAGGGCTCTTCTGTGAAGTACATTACAGAGAGATTTTAGGAGAACTATTAACTTTAAAGATACATTTTAAACTTCTCTCTTCATAATGTGAAGAAAACATCTGCTTTGGGATGGCTCCCCATACATCGGGTACCCCATTGTGAAGAATTCCTTTTGAGGATGCGTGAGTCTGAGTGACTGCTAGGTCAGTCCAAATTTATTACTATTTCTGAAAAGTCAACGCCAAATTTAGGTACTGGACTTGGGAAAACTCAGGAAAGAACAACATATGAATATTTATCTTTAAACATGAATGCATTAAATAGAATTGATTTTAGAAATACATTAACTATCACTTTCTTTAAATAATAGTTAAAACAGTGAATTATCAGTTGTAAAAGAAAATATCAGCTGTTCAGCTGTGCTAGTCACACCGTAAGTGCTAAATATACACACTTGGCTAGTGGCTACTGAACAGGGCAGTGCAGAAAAAGAGCATTTTCATCATCACTGAAAGTTCTATTCAAAGCAGGGAACTATCAGTCTTTTAAGGATAATGATTGTTTCTTATTGAAAGTTGTATATCTAATCAGACCTCATATAGTACTTATTGCATTATCTGATGACTGGTCAAAAATTACCAAATGCTATCAAATTCCATGAACTGTGAGTCTGACTCTGGCTAGGTATGGGGAATATACTGATCATTTAAAGGCCCAATCTTTGTCATTATGAAACTTTTAGTTCAACAGAGAGAATGAACAAAATAAAAATTACCCATAATAGTACAAGAGAGAAATAACTTTAATATTTTTATATATTTCCCTCAAGTTTTTCTTACTGGATATACTTATGGCTTTTTCTGAACATGTAACATGTAGAGAAAATCAGGCAAATGACATTCTTATGTTCTTCACTTAAGGATTTTTCAACCGACCAAAACACATGGCTGTCAAGTAGATTCTGACTCCCAGGAACCTGCAGGAGGCAGAGCAGGGCTGCTTGGAAGGGCTACTGAAGGTTACAAATCTTACCCAAGCAGACTCTAACCACTTTCTCTTGGGGAATATGGTGGATTCCAACGGTTGACCTTCTGGTTAGCAGCCAAGCAGTTTAACCACTGCACTACTAGGGCTCTTTTTGAATGAGCATGTCCTCTAAAACTAAATATTCACAAACAGGACTGCATGCAATCAAAAAATGCATGAACATAACAAAAGAAATTCTTTCTATGGACTGACAAATAAGTACCTACTATTTGACTTTTAAAGTTCAATAATTTACTATATTAAATAATACTCTGATAAAAACCATTAATATGTTTATATGCATCTTTTTAGATAATATCCTTAAGAAAATAGTGTATCCATTTTTTAATGCTTTTTTAGACAGATCACCTTATAACACTCTATAACAGCTATTAGATTTTTAAACTGCATGTGATTTCCCATTGAGGGGTGTCCTGGATAGCACATTCAAAACAAAGAATTATAATGTAATAAATAATTATTATGTAAATAATTTAAAAGTTAAAGAATTCAAATTTACATGTCATTGATTATTAATGAGAATACGCTTTTTTAATCCATTTACTAGGAATTTGCATTTCTTCTTGGAAATTATCCATTATTTCTTTCCACAATTTACCTGGAGAAGGAAGGAATGTTTTTCTTGATTAAAGAGCTTTTAAAATTTGAGTTAGACACTTTCTTATATGTATAAAAATATTCTGCACTTCCCACTTTAATGTCACTTGGACTTTTTAAATAAATGGAAAGCATCCTTTTTCCTTGCTGTAATTAGTAGACAGATTGTCTCAAAACTAGTATAATAAAAAATTTCATATGGATTTATTGCTACAGTTTTATTTTTTACATTTAGTGAACTTTGATAAATGTCAATAGTTGTAGAGGGGCTTTAGGCCTTCTGTTCATAGGGTCGCTATGAGTCGTGATTGACTCGAAGGCAATCAACAACAACAACATAGCAATTCATTTGAATTTACAAGAATATGGATCAAACTATTTTGTTCTAACTATTGAGATTTTCCTATCACCATCATTTACTGTCCCGTCCATTTCTTCTCCACTAATCTGAAATATGACTTTTACCTCAGTAAATTCTTAAAATGTGAATCTGTTTTCTGAGTTTGTACTACTTATATTCTTTCATTTTGTTTTAAATATCTTTACATAAGATATAAAATTTTAAGCGGTATATGTATTTTCTCTCATGAATGAAAAAGAATTCTTTAAATATATTCACAATTCTTTCATATTTTTTCTTTGACTTTCACTAGAGAATTATACTTTTTGGGTTAAAATAGCATATTGACCTCTAATTAAAAGTGAACATATTATTTGATGAAGATAGAAAAATACGTAATATTGAATGTCCCTTTTCATAAAGATGAATATCCCTTTTCAGAAAGATTTCTTTATCTATCTCAGTAAATTTTGACAATTTTTTGTTATTCATCTTATATTGTTTATATTTAATATCCCAGTAATTGTGTATTTTTGGTTGCTATTGTGTCTATGAGCTTCTTCTTTCTAATTTTTAACAATTTCTGTTTTGAGGGCATATAAAGTTCTCAAATCCATATTTCCTTTTGTGTGTGTGCAGGGCAGTGCTAACTAGTACAGGGACAATAAACTCAAAACTACAGAGTCCTCAAACATAGAAGCTTACATGCTATGATAATAAAAAAAAAAAAAAGAAAACTTGTACATGTACCTCTAATTTTTTCTGGTATTTCTCACATTCCAGTTGGCACTGTGCGAGATTTCTTGCAGTTTCTTCTTGAAGAAGTTGGACACGCTCACACTCAAAAGACTTTAATTTACTTTGATGGAGAAATTCCGTCACTTTACTTTCCTCACTGAGTTGCATTTCTCTGTATCTGGAAGAAGAAAACAGTTATGCAAGTTCTTTCCAAAGAAATAAATCTCAGATATCTATACAAATATAACGTTACTTCTGGCTCCCTGCTCATCATTTTTATACAGATAATGGTGTATCAAATCAACAGAGCTTTCAATTAATACTTTAGATAACCTAATGTATGGAAATAGGAAAACCTGAGGGGACACACCAACTCAGTTAATTTTCTCCATTATTCTATTATCTTCCTTTTTTCTATTCCAGAATAATTTCACCTATTATTATTATTATTATTATTATTCAGGAGTTCTGGTTGCGCTGCCAACTCAAAGGTTATTGTTAGGTGCTGTCGAGTCGAGTACAACGCATAGCAACCCTATGAACAACAGATCTGAACCTTGTTCTATCCTATGCCATCCTCACAGTTCCACTGCAGCAGTCAACACATCAATCCACCTTGCTGAGGGCCTTCCTTTCCTTCGCTGACCCTCCACCATTGCCAGCATCATTTCCTTCTCCAAGGAACAGTCTCTCCCAGAAACACACCAAAAATATGTGAGGCAAAGTCTAATCATCCTTGCCTCTAAAGAACACTCTGGCTGTACCTTCTCCAAGACCTATTTATTCTTTCTTTTGGTAGTCCATTGGAGGGATGTTCAGTGCTCTTTTCCAACATCACAGTTCAAAGGCATCAATTCTTTCACCATACTCATTGTCCAGCTCTAAGATGCTCAGCAAGTCATAGGAAAGACCTCGATCCTCAAACTGACATCATTACACATTAATAATTTGGAGAGGTCCCTAACTGCAGACTTTTCCAGTGCAATATGTCTCCTGATTTCCTGACTGTTGGTATCAAGGTTGTTAATTGTGGATCGAAATAAGATGAAGTGTCTGATATTGTCATTCTCTTCTCCATACATGATGATGTTGCCTATTGGTCCAGCGGTATGCATTTTTTTTTTTACATTGAGATGGGAACTCAAAGGTAGGCGGTTCAAATCCATGAGCTGCACAGCAAGAAAAAGACTGGCAATCAATCTCTTCCTATGTGATTTATAGCCTCTGAAATCTGCTGGAGAGTCTGTTATCAGTTGCTTCCAACTCAACAGCAAATAACATTACTATTATATGTGTAGGTCACTTAAAATTTAAGAAATAAGAATGAGTTTCAGTTATATTGCTTAGTAATGTTTCATAGGCCTGCTTAATTCTTTAGATTGTTTACAAGTTTGCTATTTTTGCTCTAAGTCTAAAAGAAAGCTAGGTGGAAAATATGGCATGAAAGATGTACATTACAGAACAAATTGTTGAAATACTGGTAAAAGAAATTGTTACCTTTGTAAGATTGTACATATTTGGGTACTAAAAGGGAAAATATTGTGGAAATGGCAAGATAAATAAAGAAGTACAAGTAGTCTACCATAGAGTAAGGTAGGAGAATTGTCTTCATTCCATGAGTATAACTTGTATTAAAAATGTGTTCTTTCTTTGTTTCCAGCTGGGAGCTGGGGCCTGTCAGTCCTGTCAGCCACGAGGACCTGATGTGGGCCACCTTGGCCAAGTGCCCTTCAGAGCCACACTTAAAGCAAGTGAGTGGGAGCTTCCTCTCT